GGGGCAGGACGCGGGGCTGGGCGTGGCCTGGTCAGCAAGAGGGGGAGGGGCAGGACGCGGGGCTGGGCGTGGCCTGGTCAGCAAGAGGGGGAGGGGCGAGACGTGGGACTGGGCGTGGCCTGGTCATTCAGCGGGGGCATGCACGCCGTGAGGCTAGGGCACGGGCCTGGACTAGGGCTGCCTTTAGGTCTGGCAAAGCCTCTTTGACCTGTAGCCTAAGAGCAGTGCGGAGCCACCTCAGGGCTTTGAACATGGGAGTGGTGTGGCCACGTTTACGGTGACACAAGCCACTAGGCTGCTGGAGCAGCTCTGCGGGAAGACAGACTATTGACAAGGACTCTCTCCAGCCCCTGCCTCCACGGAGGCGCCGCCATCCTTCTCCTGGCGCTCTCGCTGCACCTAGTGCACCTGCCTCTCTGAAGTCTGTTTCTCTGCCTGTCACTCCGTCCATTTGTCCACCCGTCAGGCCCCCCTTCTTTTCCCTCTGGATCCATCCACTCATCACATATGGAGTGCTTTCACCTGCCATCAGCATGCTCCTTCCAAAGCTGGGTCACCCGAAGCTCAGAACTTCCAAGGCCTCCCTGGCGCTAAAACTAAAGTCCAAACTCCATTATGCCTCATCAAGGCTGTGCCTGATCCAGCCTTCCTCCTTCCTCCCTGTTCCCCCAGCTTCTGCCCCACCCTCCATGGGAGGAGGGAAGCAGCCTGGACTCTATGGTAAGTCCTGGGTTCAAAGCTTGGCTCTCTCACGGGCCAGCCAGGTGTCGTGGGCAAACACTCCATGACCCAGCGTGTCCCTCTCTTCTTCATGGCCCTGTCAGGACACAGCCCCACTTCCACTCAGGTTGCTTCCTCTGCTGGACACCTGCCGAGACCCCCCTACCCTCCCCAGCACCACCACGGGGTTTCCGCAGCTGTCTGTAACACTCCTATCTCCCCTCACCTGCATTCTGAGGAATTCTGGGCCTATTCCCTGCCACATCTCAGAACCTGAACCCTGCAAGCAAGCTCTTATCACTGTCCCCCGAGAGTGCATGCCACAGAGCAGGCCTTCGCTGAGCACCTGTTGGTTTGTTCCCAGAAACCGAAAGTCCCAGAGATGGTGCTTCCAAAACTTAATGTGCAGAAGGTACCTGCGGATTCTTGCTCAATCGAGATCCTGGTGCAGAAGGGTGGGTGGGGCCTGCCACCCCCTGGGTGTTACTGACGCTGGCCCATGGACCTTGTGCTGAGAAGGCGCCGAGAGACTGGCAGACGCACCACGGCTCTCTCTGGTGCCCACCATGCGGCCAGGACTCCAGGTTCCTTACCTCCGAGGTCTCGAGGGACTGGATCTCCCTGGGCAGCTCCACGGCGTGTCTGTTGAAGTAGTCCATGGTGATGGCGTTGTTCCAGTAGCTCAGATTGTTCTCTGGGTTGGCCGTCTTCTTCTTCCTCCGCATACAACACACAGTCAGCAAGACGGCTGTAGAGAGAGCACAGGTCAGTGGGGAAGGGGGTGAGGACCCACCAGGAGCGTTCTCGGCTGGGGCGAGGGTGTGATGGGAAGAGGGGTAGGGCGCAGTGAACTCTCCAGAAAGAGCCTTGACTTCCATGAGGCCTTGAGGGCAGATGCTCACAGAGCACAACCACAGAGAAGGAGCCCTGGACCCTGTGAAGTAGCCTCTCTGGCACCGTCATCACCATAAAAACCAAAAAACCACCTGTGCTAGCAATTCTACAGGACTTATGTCCCAGGCACGGCTCAGGGAACATTAGAAATATTAATTCACTGAATCCTCCATTCAACCCTGGAAGGTCAGTGCTGTTAGGGCCCCTGTTACACAGGATGGAAAACTGAGGCTCAGGGAGGTGGATTCCAGGGTGTGGGGCAGCTGTACACGCTGGTACCTGTACAGGCTGAGACCTCAGAACCTGGGCTCCCGTGGGCTGCCTCAGGAATTCTGCACCTTCTCTCAGCTGCTGGCCATGTTGGCCTCTCAACCTGGACAGGCTCCAAACAGGGTCAAGAGATAGGATAAGGTTCCATTTCATGTGATCTGCTTTGATCAAAAAGACTTCTAGTTTGCTCATCATTCTTCTAGATTCCTCTATAAAGACTTTTAAAACATAGAGGAGATTTCAGAATGTCTGGGTTAATGAGTTTTAGAGGTGGACTGGTATAGAACTTCTCAAATGCTGTGGGTTTTCCCACCCTATTCTCTCCCAGAAAGCCATTTTTTCTTTTTCTCTTTCTTTTTGAGTTGGAGTCTCACTCTGTCTCACTCCAGACTGGAGTGCAGTGGCATGCTCCCAGCCACCGCAGCCTCAACCTGCTGGGCTCCGGCGATCCTTCTGCCTCAGTCTTCCAAGTAGCCAGAACTATAGGCGCGCGCTACCATGCCTGGCTAGTTTTTGATTTATTGTAGAGACGAGGTCTCACCAAGTTGCCCAGGTGGGTCTTGAACCCACAGGCTCAGGCAATCCACTTGCCTTGGCCTCCCAAAGTGCCACCAAGCCCAGCCCAAAGCACTTTTTTCAAATGCTTAAGGAGGAAACGGTGAGGAGGGCCTCCAGTGCTCAGCCTGAAACCTGCCAATGTAGGCCACCTCCTTATTCTACAGAGGAGATGCTACAGTCCAAAGGGCCCAGCTGGCTTGTCAAGGTCACAGGTGTGTGAGTGGCAGGGCTGGGAGGAGACCCCAAATCCCCTCTCTCCCTTTTTGATATCTCTTCTCCAGCGTCACTGCCTTTCACCTTGCTCCTGGAGCTGGGATGGTGAAATGACCTGGGGGAATCCTGGCTGGGGCGACAAGTCATCGAGAAAGGGAAACATGTGGGGAGCGGGAAAAGTGCTGTCTCCTTGGCTCCAGCTCATTCTGGTGGAGTTAGAGCAGGGTGGGGGGGAGGAAGGGAGGGGTATTGCTAGGGATGTTTATTTCCCATGTTGGGAAGAACAGAGTGACTCTTTAATGATCAGTTTGTAAGGGCACACCCCATCATGCCCAACAAACTGCCACAGACACAAAGCAGGCCAGCAGGGGCAAAACATGTATTTGTGAGGCAGGTATGTATAGTCTGCAGATTTCTCTAAGGTGGAGGGGTAGTTGTGCCTCCACTCTGTTGATCAGTAGTTATAAGCACACAGAATCAAAGCAACAGATGTAATCTTAGGTATTGTCTAGTCACTATGGTGAGAGGGACCCAGAACTTAGAGCCAGAATCCAGATGATAATCACTTACTCGCATGACCTGAATAAGTTACTTAGCCTCTCAGCCTCGGCTTCCTCTGGGAAGATTAAATGCCACCTTGCCTTTGCCAGCACTTGGAATAGTCCCTGGCACACAGCAGGAGCTGAAACAAACCCGTCTCTTCCCCATCCTGCATTCTTATCCTACAAAGTGGAGCAAGAACCCAAAGAGATGAAACTTGCTCAAGGCCATGCTGCTGACCTAGGCTGGCACAGGCTGCAGGATCTGAATCCTCTGACCCCCTGTCCAGTGCTCTAATGGCCCACAGTGCCCCTGGGTCTGAAGCCCAGGGCTACTTAGGATGCCAGGCGTAGGGATCCTGCCCTGCAGCAAGGACTGGCACCACTGCAGGATGGCCTGGGAGCTGGAACAGGAAGTTCTGGTCCATGCTTTCTTCCCCTCATGTTAGTGCTCCTGGCCTGACTATGTTTTTCTCAGGGAGATTCCAGTGCTTCTCAAGCACCATTTCATTTACTTACTGGAAGCCAGGCTGGGTACGGAAAAAACTTGGGTTTGGGGTCAGAAAGACCCGTGTTTACATGGTGGCCCTGCCATGTATCAGCTGGTGAGTCACTTCAGTTCTCTAATATGGACTTCACAGCATTCTAATGAGAGCCACAGAGATCATGCATGCCCGATGCCAAGTACAACGCCTGGCACACAACGCCTGGCTTAATTAATGAGAATGCTCTTCTCATTCTTCCAGCGTCCTCTACAAGAGAGAGCTAGAAAGAAGAGCTGGGCGACGCAACTGTCCGGTGGCTCAAGGCCAAAGCTCCAGCTGGAGTTTAGCACTTCTGCTGTTTCAGTGGCATGATTTTTCATCCAAAAAAGAAAAGTAGAAGTCAGACTTACGGAGTTTCGACCACATTCCTGGTGCCATACTTATTTAGCCCACATGGTAACTGTCTGAGGAAGGTTCTGCCATTCTTTCCTTCTGCAGAAAAGGCCACCGAAGGTCACAGAAGTTAACTATGTGGATCTTGATCGGTCCACTAATCACCGCAACTTGAACCCAGGTCTCGGTGACCTTCAAATGGACATCCACAGTCCTATGTTGCCCTGAACACTGGAGGGAACATGCATGAGGTATGTGGAAGCCCTTTGTGAATTACACAGCTCTAGGCAAACACAAAGTGCCAGCCACTTCCTGGACCGCTTAGTTGAAAGGCTTCCTCGGCTCAGTTTCTCCGAAGACAGTAGCCATCAAGACTCTAGTGGAGGCCGATGAATGAGGTCCCCATGTCCTTGAGTTTTCTTTTCTCTTTTTTTTTTGAGTTGGAGTCTCACTCCGTTGCCCAGACTGGAGTGCAGTGGCATGCTCTCGGTCACCGCAGCCTTGACCTGCTGAGCTCTGGTGATCCTTTCACCTCAGCCTTCCAAGTAGCCATTACTACAGGCACACACTACCATGCCTGGCTAATTTTTAATTTATTGTCGAGACAAGGTCTTGCCAAGTTGCCCGGGTGGGTCTCAAATCCGCGGGCTCAGGCAACCACTCGCCTCGGCCTCCCAAAGTGCTGAGATTACAGGCTGAGCCACCGAGCCCGGCTGTCCTTGAGTTTCCAAGCAGGGCTGAGAATTAAGCAAGCTCTCTTGGCTTCCTAGAAGTGTCACTGGGAGTCACCCACCGCTTGTCAGATGTGTGACAGGAAGAAGCGTGGAGTCCTGGGTACTGTGTGTGTATTTCTGGGAGCTTTCGGGTGACAGGACTCACTGTGTGATAAGAAATGGAAATGAAACCCCACGGATCATTTGAGGAGCCAACTTTCTCAAACCCCTGCCGAAGTCGCTCCCTCCCTGGCCAGTGTGAGCCCATCCTGCTAATCCTACCAATACTAAGATGAACACAAGCCCTGTGTGGTCACCACCCGGTGCTGAGCACTTCTCCATGGCAGACGCTGGATGGCTCACCATGCGTCATCTCTGATTCTTACAAGTCCCTGAAGTGGGTACTGCGGCCATGAATGTCCCCCTTGGGTCTCCTACAGAGGACAGAGATGGACAGCCCTGCTGTCTCCTCTCTGTACCCACTGCCACGTTTGTGCCTAGGCTGCTCCCTGCTGCAGCAGACCGTGGCAGGGCTATCAGTGCAGGCCTCTCCCTGGGACTCTTGGAGTGGCTTGAGGACTCCCGTTGGCCTTGCAGAAGCTTTCTTAGAACTGCACTGCAGTCCAATACTTCCTGGCCACCCTTCCTTCCTTCCCCCACTCCTCTCATGGGCTCAGGTCTATACTGCAGGCGGAGGTTCTCTGCCTGCTCCATTCCTTCCTGAACATTTTACCGGAGTTCCTAGTAATTCTATTGCATGCCTAATCCCCCCTTGGTGCCTGCCTCTTGAAGGACGAACACAGTGGACGTTAATCCCATTCTGCAAATGGGAAAGCACTGGATGGACAAGTAGCTTGTGCATGTCCCACAGCCAGCAAGGGCATGGGCTAGGGTGATGGGCATGTGTTTGACTCTACCTGCCAAGCCTTTGGAACACAGCAGGCTTCCTCTCTAGTGATCTGTGTAGGGTTAACGTTGGAGGTGCTGGAGAGGTCAGGAAGCACTGACATTCTGAAGTTGGGCCCCTCTGCGTTATGGAGGAGAAAACAGAGACCAGTGAGAGGAAGGATTCACCCGGGGAGCCAACGCGAGGGGCTGTGGACAGTCATTTGCCTTCTTTGAAAGCTGAGGGAGGAGGCTACAGGGAGGTCTCACGGTGTGCTGGATGTGAGGCCACGGGAAACCAGGTTGGGGTTGGCACCTGGCTCCCCAGCCCTGCGGGTGGGAATGTGTCTGCGGGAGCCCGAGGAGGCATCTGCCAGGGTGCACTGGCTGGGAAGGAGAGGGAAGAGCTGTCAGCACGGACATGACACTGGTGCGGCCAGGGTGACGTCCCTGGACGAGCCTGCCTTGCTCTGACCCCCGTGTGGTCCATAAGCCCCCAGGAGGGAAGCCTCCCAGCCATCTTCTGGTCCCAGTCTCTTCTGCCCTTTTCTTTTTTTTTTGAGTTGGAGTCAGCAAGAGAGGGAATGAGACTCCAACTCAAATAATAATAATAATAATAATAATAATAATAATAATAAATCTTATTTTACATATTTACAACCAGTAAGAGTGTTTTCATTTTTATTTTCAATAAACTCTTCTGATATTCCTGGGATCACCTTTAATTAAATAGAAGTTTTATTCTTTTTTTTTTTTGAGTTGTAGTCTCACTCTGTCGCTCAGACTGGAGTGCAGTGGCCGCTCCCGGCCACCGCAGCCTCGACCTGCTGGGCTCTGGCGATCCTTCCGCCTCAGCCTTCCAAGTAGCTGGAACGACAGGCACACGCTACCACGCCCGGCTGATTTTTTGATTTATTGTGGATATGAGGTCTCGCCAAGTTGCCCAGGTGGGTCTCGAACCCGCAGGCTCAGGCAATCCACTCACCTCGGCCTCCCAAGGTGCTGGGATTACAGGCTGAGCCACCGAGCCCGGCCTCTTCTGCCCTTTCCATGGCAAGAGTTGTGCTGACCCAGGCTTCTCGTGTGATAGTTACAGAATCCTTCAGGTCAGGAAGTAAAAGGCACAGGCGTATGCTCAGATCCGCTGTTCCCTGAACAACCCGCATCGCCAAAAGAATCACCCGGGACGCAGACAGACGCGTGGTCTGAACGCCGTCCCCACACTCCAGCCTCTGCAGAAAGCCCGACTGCTCCAGGGTCAAGTGTACAAGGATCTCATGTGTCGGGGGTCAGAGAGAAAGGCTTCACCTCCAGACGGCCATGTCTTCTCACAGGGAGGATGGATGGAGACAGTCTCCAGAACGGACATGACACACGATGGGTAGCCAAGGGAGCTTGGTGCCCATGAAAATCCAGAGCGTGGGCAGTCCGGGCGCAAGCCGGGCCCCCAGACTTTCAGCAGCGGCGGTGGGCTCTGTGCAGCCTGAGGGTGGCAGCAGAGAGCAGCTCAGGAGTCGCCTGGCGCCCCTGCCCAGCCCAGGGAGGCCTGGATCCCATCAATACGGTCCTCAGCACATCTGAAGACGTGGGTGGCTGAGAATGCCTGGCAGGGCTTGAAGACAAGGCATTTCTCAGCCCTGGCACATGTGCATCCTTCCTGGCTTCAGTGGAGGTAGAAAGGCTGGGTAGGGCCAGAGCTGGTCTGAAAAGCCAGCTTTTCAGAGAGGAAACTGACACGTGCATTCTGCTACCAGCCCAGTGTGTCTGAAGCAGCTGGCATGCCAGCTAAGAATGTGACCCTTCTGTGGGGTCTGCGGAGTGGCTTTAGGATAAATGGAGCTGCCGGGAAGCTCTGAGGCAAGGAGCCCTAGACCTGGAAGAGGTCTGCTGGCCTCATGCTAGTTGGGCTGGACCATGAGAACAGACCAGATAGATGAGGATGCTTCCAGAGAGAGCACAGGATGCTGGTGTTAGACAGATATTCTCTCTCTCTTTTTTTTTTGAGTCAGAGTCCCACTCTGTCGCCCAGACTGGAGTGCTGTGGCACGCTCCTGGCCACTGCAGCCTCGACCTGCTGGGCTCTGGCGATCCTTCCGCCTCAGCCTTCCGAGTAGCTGGAACTACAGGCGTGTGCTACCAGGCCCGGCTAATTTTTGATTGATTGTAGAGATGAGGTCTTGCCAAGTTGCCCGGGTGGGTCTCGAACCTGCGGGCTCAGGCAATCCACTTGCCTCAACCTCCCAAAGTGCTGGGATTACAGGCTGAACCACTGAGCCTGGCCCAGATATTCTCTCTTACTGTCTCTCCGCCTGGGCCTTCACAGGGTTCTCAGTGGTCCCACAGGAAGTGGGCCGGGACTGAGGACCGAGAGTGATGGGGAGGCAGCCAGAGCTGAGGCAGGAGCTTTGGTGAGTGAGGGCTCAGGGGTGCCTGTCCTCGTGGGTGGAAGACACAAGACTGATGACGAAGGGGGTGGGGCCAGCGGTTCCCAAGGGGTGGCCGAGGTCCACCTCGAATACGTTTGTGTCCTCCTTGAGAAAGTCACGTGACCTGAGAAGTGCCGGAGAGGTGCCAGAAGCATTCTGATGTGCAGATCCAGGCTGTGACCTTGCTCCTGCCTTGGATGACATGGTTTAGGCAGCCCATGGGCCTTCAGCTTTGCAGCCAGGTCTGATCCAATTTCAAACGCATACATCTCAAGCAGATGGGCCGGAGGAAAAGGAGGTGTATAGAGTTGCAATGGCTGGTGGGGCGAGAGCTGTCCAGCCCAGACAGAGAGGGAGGCCAGGTGGGGAGGAGCTGGGGTCGAGCAGGCAGCACATTCTGACTCCCTAGTGCCTGGCCCACAATGGGCACTTGGGATACACCACACCGAATCAGACAGACTGTGCACCCCTGCCGTGCACCGTGCTGCCTCCCGCTGTGACTGGGACCCAGGCAAGCCATTCACCCGCTGACTTACTCCCCACCTGAGGGATGGTGATGGCCGGAGCCACCTTGGCATGCTTGTTTCTGTTTTTATTTTATTTACCTGGAATGGTAAGGGGTAATGAGAATGCACTTTGTAAACCAGAGCATCCTGGACATGGGTCAGGATCGGAAACGTGGGAAGCGGTCTCTACTGTGGTTGTTCCTCAAATACGACTGACCTTGAATAATAATTTATTGGCTAGTAGTGCTATGTTTTCTCACAATCATTCTTTTGTTTTAGAAGTGGGCGATCACAGTTTTAAGAATAGATGGGTGTCTCCACAAGAGACAATGAAGTTGCCTTTACTGAGAATGAAATACGCGTGCTGCAAACATTCTGACTTCTGCTATAAGTCTCTTTAAGCAGACTCAGGCGGCCCACTCTGCCACACAGTCTGCTCTGCTCATCAATCTGAAGGAGACAGAGGTGGGACAGGAGGCTCCTGAAATAATCAGACTCTAGGTTAAAAAATGATCTTGCTGGAGTCCAAGGCCAAGTGGGAATCGGGGTCCACGTTCAAGGCATAAACCTCTTGGGCTGACTACCTGTGGCATGAGGAAAGGTGGGGAGACCCAGCTCAGCAGCCTCCCCTGTATGAGGCCTGGGGGTTCTGCCCTTCCGGCGACCAGGCAAGCCTGCGGTGTGACCCGAAGCCACTAAACCCGCAGAGCTGATGCCTGCTGGCTGCCAAGCGCACCCCAATCCCCCATGCGCTCCCTCTGCCAGGGTTGAGTATATGCAGAGGACAAAGGGAGGCCACCCAGGGAGGCAGACAGGGGCGGGCCCAGGTGATGCAGCCCTAGGAACAAGACTGGAAAGGATGGGGGCGAGCAGCTTAGAGGGAAAACTTGCCCTTCAGAGTGATTTCAGATGTCTCAGGGGTTGTCAACAGACTTCTGTGGCTTCAGATGGCCTGACTTAGGGTGCTGGAGTAGGAGCCACCAGGAGGCAGACTCCAGGCCCAGCGGGTCCAGAGACAACCTGGAGGGTCAAGGAGAACCAGCCGTCCAAGAGCGAGGAGCACACAGTGCTGTTGTCCCTGTAAGGGCCCAGGGAGTGGCCATGGGGACCCTCTGGGGTGTGGTTGAGCACTGTGAGGGTTCCTGAGAGCTGTCGGAAAATCTCCAAGAATTGAGGATCAGGTGCATGAGCAAGACAGAAAGAAAGCCCTCAGGTCCTGGAGGCTGCGTCAGGTTTTTCAGAGACCACAGGGAGAATGCTCCCGGCCCCTCCTTCACCGAGTGACAGGGTGAGCAAGGAGTCATTGGTGTCCCCGGAGGGCACGGTCCACACTACATCCAGCTCACACCACTTATGAACAAGTGAACCGAGGTGGCACTGGAGAGCTACCAACATTTACATAATTGCAGCCTGAATTTAGCTGCGAGAATTAGATTTTGCCAAGGGTGATAGGACTTTCTTCTTCTTTTTTTTTTGAGTTGGAGTCTCACTCTGTTGCCCAGACTGGAGTGCAGTGACCGCTCCTGGGCACTGCAGCCTCGACCTGCTGGGCTCTGGCAATCCTTCTGCCTCAGCCTCCCAAGTAACTGGAACTACAGGTGCGCGCTACCAACCTGACTAATTTTTTGATTTATTGTAGAGATGAGGTCTCGCTGCCCAGGCAGGTCTCGAACCCGCGGGCTCAGGCAATCCACTCACCTCAGCCTCCCAAAGGCGCGGGATTACAGGCGGAGCCACCAAGCCCGGCTGATAGAACTTTCTACGGCAGGAAAGCTTTTTCTCCCCTTCTTTCTTGGGGGAAGAGAGACAAAGAGGAAGATGAAAGAGACATAGGGGAAGACAAACCCTTGGCTGGTTGAAGTGCCATCATTCCCCTCGGTGCCAGGTGGCTAGCGGTGTTGGCAGCTGAGCTTGGGGTAGTGGGGAATGGCTGCTGTGAGATCTCAGCTCAGCCCGCCTCTCATGGCTCTGGGATCCTGGGTGAGGCATGTGGCCTCCTGCTTGATGGAGGAGACTGCCTGTGAGGTGCCCCCCATCAAGCCATGGCCTGGCGGAGTGGAGGGCGAGGCACGGGGTCAACCAAGGATGCTTGGCCTTACCCTGGGTGTCCCGGGATTCTGGGAATGTCTGTCGCCCACTTGGTGGGAGCTGCACAAATCTGGAGCAGAGGAATTTGGGGCTGAGCCGTGGGTGTGGTCGAGGGAGAGGAAGGAGGGTAGGGAGCAGGGAGAGGGTAGCACTCACAGCAGGAGGAGACAGGCACGCTGATGGCCAGGATCACCCAGGCGATGTCCATCTTGCTCAGGCAGATGGTGGCTCTGTGCTGGGGTTTGTCCCCTTCGGCCACATGGGAGATGTTCCCGGCTGTCCCGGGCTTCCAGGTCCCTGCAGGAACCAGGCGGTTGAGGAAGTTTCCTGTGGCCGTGGACACCACCGTGGACAGAGGACTGGGCACCCTGTCGGCCGTGGTGAGGGTGACGGGTGCCTCCTCCTCGACTGGAGAAACAGTGCTTTCCGAGACTCCGGGGGGGCGGGCTGGAGCCTGGGAGGTCACGGGTGCTCCCTGAGGAATCCCTTGGGAAGGGGCTGAGACACTGGCAATGAAGGTGGCCCGGGTGGACCCTGTGGTGGCCGTGAAGACCCTGGAGCTGGCAGACAGAGGTCTGCGGGTGCCAGGGGTGTCGGTAAGCCAAGAGTCACTGTGGCTGGGGCCGCCCTGCGGGTCACCGTGGGGGCGCTGAGAAGGCACTGGGGCAGGCTGGGGACTGGCAGGGGCACCTGAGGCTGCCGGGGCATCTGGCACCCCTCCTGGGCTGGTGAGGGTGGAGCCCCTCCCCTGGCCTCTGTGAAGGCCTGGCTTGTCCTCTGCAGGCCCTGGAGGGGGGTCGGGGGTCGCCCACGAGGTGCTGCTGGGTGCCGGGGTCACGGCCACTGTCTGGGGCTGCGGGGAGGAGGACCCCGCGGGTGGGGTCCTGGGGGTGAGGGCAGAGGGGTCTGGCCCTACAGACCCCGTGAAGTTGCCCTTGTAGATCTGGAAGATTTTCCCCAGAGGCCGTTTCTGCCCCAGAGGTGTGGAGCTCTGGCTTCGCCCCCGCTGGCCTTCCTTCCTCCCAGAGTGGCCGCTGGAGGCAGGTGGGACAGGGCGTGGGGAACTTCCAGCCCCTTTCCGGGAGGAGCCTGGGGGCCGCGGGGCCCTGCGGGTGGTGGCTCGGGAGGGTCCTGTCGTCGGGCGGCTGGTGGCTCCTGGTGGCTGCGTTAGCAGGACGGTGGGGGTGACCCGGCCCGGGGGACGGCCCTCCGAGTGGGAAGACGGGGTGGCCGTGACCGCCAGAGGGGACCCTGTGGGCAGGGGGCTTTCGGAGTGGGTGGTGGGTGCCGTCGCCATGGTGGTGGGGATGGTGTCCGTGGGAGGGCGCCCATCAGGACGGGGCGTGGACGTGGCCATGGGAGCTGTGGCCTGTGAGGAAGGTCCCTGGGGACGGGAGGTCTGCATTGCCACGGAGGAGTGTCTGGCAGAGCTGTGGGGTGCTGTCACCATGGTGCCGGGGGACGTGACGGAGGGGAGGACCTGAAGAGATTCCCTGGGAGATGGTTCCGGGACGGTGGATGCCAGCGCTTCGGTCAGTGCCAAGGTCAGGAGGAAACCTTGAGAGGAAGACAGAGAGAAGAGGTGAGACCCCGGGAAGCTCCCAGGCTGGGCCTGCCTTGTCCATGACCTCAGAGGGCACTGGGGACTCAGGAGGCACCAGGACTGTTCCTGAGCTCCACATGGACACCTCCACAGTCAGATGGAGCTGTATGTGGAGCTAGGGCAGGTCTATGAGGTGGGTGCCACCCAGTACCTGTCGGGAAGAGAAGCCAGCCTAGGGAACCAGGGCAGCAAACAGGCCTGTCCTTCCCCACAAACCTTGGAAATGTCATCAGCCCCCGCAAGGGTAGCTTCTTCGAACAGGCTGGCCTGCCCCAGGGAAGCCGCAGCTCTGTGTGCGCCACCCAAGCCAAGGGAGGACAGCCAGGGTGGCCAGAGCGGACCAGCTCCGGTACCCTTTCCTGAACCTTCCATTATAAACTTGGCAAAGGTACAGAGGAGCAGACCCCTGTCTCTTTGGGCTCACTCACTGAGTCCAGGAGGGTCAGCCCTCCCTGACCCCGCAGGACTCAAAAATGAACAGAGCAGCCTCTGGCCCTGAATGAGCTCACACACGTCCACAAACAACCCTAAAATAAGACAGCAATGTCTCAGTGCCACAGAAGAGTGACAGACAGAGGGACGGGGGCAGAGCCCTCGGCACAGTCAGGGATGGAAGGTGCCTTGTGTCAACACTGGCTGGTGCCATGGCTGTCATTAATTGCTTTCCCCGTGGCACTCATGCTGCTGAACTCTGGAAATCATCAAGGGTGATGCCAGCCTTTCAGGTAGGAGAAGTCCCTATGAACATTAAAAAAACCACATGGATTTTGCAGGATAGTCAATGTGTGTATTTTTAGTTCATTGAGAAAATGCACAAGGGAAAAAAGTCTGTAAATTTGGAAACATTTCTAAATATGTGTGGATTTTATTAATCACAACATTAAGTGCTTATATTTAAAGACAGTACCTTCTGCAGCGTGCGATGTAGGAGCTGTACCCTGACCACACATGGGCAGGAAGAGCTGATCTCTTCTGCTGAGTGGCTGGACGGTTCCCAAAGGCCAGGTTCTGACCTGTCAGCGACTCCCTGTTCACATGGACCCCTTTTTCATCACTCTCAGGCCATTCTTGTAACCCCTACTAGGCTCTGCAGACCATGGGTAGAGATCTCTGTCTCTATCTGATGACTCTCTGGAAGCCTCTTTGCCCCATCAGATTCCAGCAGGACGAAAAGCCCAAGGAGGGACCCCAGCTGTGATTCCCAGGTGTCTGATCAAAAGGCAGGGGCCCTGGCTGTGGTTCCCAGATATCTAATGGGGCAGGCAGGGGCCTTGGCTGTGGCTCTCAGGTGTCTTATAGGGAAGACAAAAGCCCTTGCGAGACTACAGGAAGTAGAGAAGTGAGATCTCCTGGCACGCCTCTGACATAGGACTCCAGGTGTGTGGTGGAGCCCTGGCATGGACCAGTGCCCCCTCTAGGTTAACTTTTATTTTTTTTTGAGTTGGAGTCTTACTCTGTTGCCCAGACTGGAGTGCAGTGCAGTGGCCGCTCCCGGCCCCCGCAGCCTCGACCTGCTGGGCTCCGGCGATCCTTCTGCCTCAGCCTTCCGAGTAACCGGAACTACAGGCATGCGCTACCACGCCCGGCTGATTTTTTGATGTATTGTAGAGATGAGGTCTCACTGCCCAGGCAGGTCTCGAACCCGCGGGCTCAGGCAATCCACTCACCTCAGCCTCCCAAAGGTGCGGGATTACAGGCTGAGCCACCGAGCCCGGCTGTTTAACTTCTAAGTTAGTGGTGGGGGGAGGCTGAAGAATTGTGGATTGGAGGTTGAACAGAGGCTGCAGCATCCGCCATCTCTAGGACCAATGATTTTCCCTAAACAACCTATTTTTTTTGAAACTTTCATTCGTGATCTGGTCTACACACCAACCACACACTCTGCTTATTCAGCTCAATTCTAAAAATACCAGTTACTGAACACCTGTCCTGGCCTAGGCTTTCATACTCAATTGAATCTTCATGACCACTTGATGGGGTACGAAACTGAGGTTCATAGCGATCAGGCAACATGATGAAAGTCACACAGCAGCAGAAGCATGTGAACCCAGGGCTGTCTCCAAAACGCACGCTTTTCCTGGTCAGCCACCATCAGCAACACTGAAGGCAGAAGATGAGGACAGGACCTTGCATCAACAGGAGAAACAAGTGCTGTTCTACTCTGACCGGGTTGTTACTCCAGCCTCCCCATCCACCCTGCAGTTAACAACACAGGGACAAGCTCTGCTTAGGCTGGTGGTGCTGAACCCAGTGTTCTCAGGAACGTTCCCTTACAAGCCCCTGTTTGGCTCGCAAGCGCCTTGGCTCAATACACAGGTTGTTGAGGATGGAATTTTGCTCCCCCCAGACTCCTGGGTTGGAACCCTGCCCACCGATATCTCAGAACCAGACTGTATCTGGAGACAGGTCCTTCCAAGAGGTGATTACGGCAAAACGAGGCTGATAGGTGAGCCCTAACCCAATCTGCCTGATGTCTTCCTAAAGGGGAGATGAGGACACGCAGAGACACCGGGGCACATGTACACCGAGGACCCTGTGAACGCCCAGCAGGGAGACGGTGCCGTCTGCAGGGTCAAGGAGCCCAGCCTCCAGGGAATTCAACCCCGATGGTTCCTTGATTTTGGACTTCCAGCCTGCAGAACTATGAGGATATACATTTCTGTTGTTTAAGCCACCCGGTCTTGGTATTGTGATGGCAGCCCTGGCAAACGCGCACAAGTGTCTTCTAGGAGGGCTCTGAGGAAGGGGAGGCAGGACGAGGCATGGTGCCGGGTAGCTGATCCTGGAGAGTGAGCTGCGGGTCAGCTGTGGGCTCTGAAATGAGTGACACAGGGAAAACCTATCGAGGGCAGGTTACGAGCTGGTCTGGGTGGGCACCTCACACTGGAACCTCTGAGGAGCCGAGTAGGCTGCACCTCCCACTGTCTGCCTGACAGGAGCACCTGCCCAGAGGTTCCCGTCCCCATGGGCCGGGGCTGCTTCTTCCCCTGAACCTCTTGGCTCGTGCCAAGTCTCGCTTGGCGGGGTCAGGGAAGCATTGGGTTAAGGGGCTGTCAGGTCACACCTGCGCCCACTTGGTGGTAACAGCTGGAGTTAAAAGTCAACGACCCAGGAGATTCCTGGGACCAAGTTCCAGATGGGTTTTTTCTTTGTGTCAGAGACCGAAGGCCAAGGAGTCTTATCAGCCATGTCAAGGGCAACACAAAACTGTAGGAGAGACACAGAGCCACCCCAGGGCCAGGCCCACGGGTGGGAGAGGAGTTACATGGCCTCTAGAATGTTCGTGTCACTCCAGAGGCAGAGGGGTTAACACAGACCCGTCTTCACAATCTCAGGGAGAGAAATTTTAATTCCCATCATCACTCCAGGGGCTGACATCCTCCCGGCTGGAAAGCCTGTGCCGGAACCTTGGTGCCAAGATGGAGGTGTAAGTAAGTATGTTTGTCCTTACTGCCGCTGCTGCCTTTTTTCTTTCAGCTGTCAGAATTCCTGAAGTTGTTTTTCTCTCTAGGAGAACTTCAGGGTTACCTCTCAGCCTCTTCTACTTTGGGACTTCGAGTGAATCTGTGGCATGATGAATGGATCCTGCCACCTTGGTACCAAGGGTTGTCACCTGGAAGATGACATTAGATACCACTGTGAGAGGGACTTAGAGTTCATCTAATCCCATCCCCTCATTTCATAGAGGGGCTACGGAAGAGACTTGTTCAAGAACAGATGCCTGGCTGGGGTTGCAGCCTGGACCACAGCTATTGTTTCAAAGCACCTTTTCATTTGTTTCTTAAAAGGCACTGCAGCATTGCATGGTACCTACGTCGCCTCCAACCCCCACTGTCACCTTCAACATGGAGATCAGACAAGAACTTACCTCCTGAAAAGAGGTACCTACAGAAACCTAGAATAAACTTAGTTTAGTTTTTTGCCTTAGCATAGTCATTTTTGCTTGGACCTTACCCTGACACACTTTGAATCTAGCACAGGTTAGACATCGATAGATAAATTTCCAACAGGCAGGTTTTAGGGAGCATTCAGACATTTTACTGCAGGCCAAGTGGCAACCTACCCAACCCCTCGGCAACTCTTCATCAGATGCAAGACAAGGACAGAGCCAAAGAAATGGTAATAGACCACCTTTTGGTCAAGGAGTTTGTGGACTGCAAATGTTTGACAAAGTCTCTTATAGGAAATCCTCCTCCCCTTGCCTCCTCCTGAAAGGACAGACCGAGAGTGGGAAGCCATTTTTCGTCTTGGTTTTAAACCCTGACACAATCATGAGAGAGTAGAAGCTATGTTTTGGAGAAATGAATATTTTAGGTAAAAATTAACCTTGCCAACTTTGTCTTTTCAGAAACACAGACTTCCTGATGCCAGAGGTATCACATAATGGCAATCAAGCTTGCCTAGAGTAAAGGGAAAGGGAATTTACAAGGCCTAAGACATTATGCATTGGGCAAGGATTGTAGCAGTCACGAAACTTGTAATTATAAAAGTTACACAGATCGCAGGACTTGTGAACCCTCAGAGGGGGAGCAGGTGAGGATTCGATATTCCAGTAGATTGGTTGCTATCTACAGGGCAGTCAAGGATCCCAGAAGCTACCCACTGGGAATACATGGGAGATAGGGGGAGGTGCACCCTCCACTAGCTCTAAGGAATGTCGTTCAGGAAGGTGCAGCACTGGAATCCTTGTCACACACTTCTCTAGGGACTATGATAATATGGACAGACATTAATGGGTCTCTGTGTCACAGGGTCTCCAAGACATTCCTTCTACTTTTTCCTTGGTGCAATCTTGCATTATTCCTGCGCACTGGTCCACCTCCCCTCAGTGGACCCATTCACCTCCCCTCCTTGGCTTGAAAGGTTCACAACTGCATGTGAGGCACACTGGCACAATAAACATGCAAGGCCTTCAACCTAGAGCTTCCCTAACACATGCAAATTTTCATCCATG